CCCATTCCAAGTCAGACTTATATCATGAAGACGCTAGAGAAAGTGGGATTCATGTGCAACTATACCAATGTCAGTACATATGCCCGATGTTTGTATATTTACAGTAACAGGTCATAGTGTCCGATTTCTCCTTCAAAAATTAGGTCATGAAAAATCAACCTGTTGTTGTATTTGTTCATGCCCAAATTCCTTCTCTTCTGTTTTCATCCGTAAAGTGGGTATCGTTTTGAAGCTTACTATTTGGTCGATATTCTTTCACTTTCTTTTTTGTTCTATATAACTTTTAACTGAACATTTTTAAAGGCAAAAAAACTGTAAAGAAATTACACTTTTCTCAAGGTCGAGCTGCAATACACATTGTGCAATTTCAAAACTAAGTACACAGGTGTCAAGCCAACATAATTATATTTCAGCCACATCTTACATTACAGGTGTATTGGTTAGAACTAGTTGCAAAAGCTTGAGATTGGAACAAAAATCGTTGAGAATTCGACTGAATGAGCTCAACTTACTATCGGTTACTATATTTTAACAACTACAGGATCCCAAAAGAAACAACACACGATAGATGAGGGAGGGTCTATACTTTATTAAACAATACACCAAATCGGCGATGAAATAGGGCAAACGGGTTTGCCCCCAAAAAAACTAAAGGGTACCTGTCTCGAGTGGAATCATCTCCATCATACACGGTCAACTTTGAAACCTCGTTTCTCCAACAAACACCACCGGTAATGTACATCTACGACCTTGAGCGTGACGCCGGCCCTTCTTACATCTCACATTAACGTATGACAAGGAAACCCTTACGCAAAGCGGAGTTACAAGCTAAACAGTAAACAGTAGCAAACTCTCGCGGATTCTCGCGGATCACATTACCTTGGAAAAGAAGCGCGAGATTTAAACGAGATCTTAGAGCTAGAGAGCTGCGCAGAACCGATGCGCACAGCCGTCTGCGGTTCGACTGTCCGGACCGTCACACCGGTGATCCGGGAATGCAAAAATGATCTTCCTTGTAGAGTCGTCCCGTAGACTTTTTACGAGGCAAGCATCATATTTCGCAAGTAACACAAAAATACACAAGCTCAATGCGGCTTGGTCGCTTCCCGTAGGCGTGCGAGCAAGGACAAACATAGAAAACATCACATATTGTGCAACAACAAGTCAACACCACAAGAGTTCTTAGGTCTTAGAAAGTTCTGTGGGTAGAGATACAGTACTCAGAGTTCGCAGCAAAGATCTAGCAGGTCACGTCATGTTAGAAAGTCAGTTCCTACTCATGATGGGGTCGGTCGTCTGCGACACAAGGGCTCCCTTGAGTCAGCGGGCTGGGTTCCGCGGGCGGTCGGGACGCGGCGACGTGGCACGGTCCGCTCGGGCCGGAAGGTGACGGCATGGCATGGTCTTGACGGTCTTGGGCAGGGTTGCATGTCTGAGACAAATGCAAGTTCATATAGCAGGCCTGGTTCACGGGAGCACGGCTGGGTACAAAAGAGGTCGTGGCACGTAGCGGTAGCGTCGACGGGTTCTTCGTCAGTGTGACCGGATACGGAGCGGCGGCCTGGTGTGTCGGGCGGCATGGCGGCTGTCAGCGGTCGCGTCGGTTTGGCCGGGTAGCGGGCTGGCGGGTCGGGCGGCATGGTAGCGATGGCGGCGGTCAAGTGCTGCTCAGCCGGGGCTGTTGGCTAGTCGGGCGGCATCGTCGGGATGGCGTTGCGGTGGGTGCGCCCGCTCGCAAGCGGCAACGCACCGCTGCCACCAGATGTAACAGGACGAAGAAGGACGCACGTCTAAACTCGTCAATGGCTTGATCTCAACTCCTTTATTCAATCTGTACCGGCCGGTTCTAGAGCCCCTTCCCTCGAACGGTACCGGTATAGATCACCTGTTCGAACACGACGTTGGCACGTGCGCTGTCACGTGTTCGAACAGGCGACCGCGGCACCGCCCAAGGGAGGGGATAGAACCGGCGATAATACAAATGCTTTAATACTAACAATACATATTGTTACAATAGTATAATACAGATGATCATGACCAATTTATTTACTCTTCACAATTCTCAAATGTCTCATCAATAACAATGAATTTATCATAGTATAATGGAGATGGCCACTTTGTTTACTCTTCAAAATTATGAAAGGTCTAGAAATTTCTGTGGGCAACAAAAGAGGTTTATATTCGTTATCATCCATAGCTTTTTACGCTGAAATTATCAACTATAGAAAATAGATATAGAGCAGGATAATGCGATAGACATGTGCACTACGATCTTTAACACCTGTTAGAAATGCATTGCTGTCTGCAAGTCAGGATGTTACAACTTTATTGACACAGCAAAAGTACCGCGACTTTCGTAAGGTCCTTAACTACATGTAGACATAGACAGATACGTGGGTACAACAAAATTGACCTACGTATAAAACAATAGATGAATCAACTTATACTACTTGATCTAAGGTGATATATTTACCTATTTGTACACAATAAGGGTTATTACCTTCTAGAATGAAATTGAATTTATCTACAGCTTTAAATGTAACAAATTTCCCTAGGCCTTGAGCAAGCATAAAAGGGGTGAACAGCTTTGTGCGCTAATCACCTGGGAGGTTTTCCCTGTCCTATACTTTAATTTTCAAGGAAAAACTTTGTCGATGGCAAACCCAGCTGTGTTTGGTGGCATGGCCTGCTACAGCCTGTCATTTAAATTTCCGGCCGTTAACCCACACATTAGCTTGACCCATGGACATGTCCTTACTTCACCCTTGCCCTCTTTGTGACTCAACAAAGAACAGACCATAATCTCCCTGGACTAGGGGTGCAAGATATAAACTCATCCTTCTTTTTTGCGATTTGCAAGTTTTTAATGTTGAAATAGCCTATCTTCTTGAAAAGATGCCTCATAACAAAACGTCACTTTTTCCTTTTGCCTATCTAATTTGGTTCATCGCTCTTTATCACCTATTTGACTCTGCAGACCTTGACGTGTTTTTCCGCATTCGTGACATCAGCACTGGGTCAAAGTCTGACCCGGCTAAGAGAGGGTTGGTGCCTCCTTCACACCTCCCACAAAAAAGTCGCGTTCAAGGTGAGTTAGGTTTTTAAATGAAATAGCTTGTCTTTGTACGTTCGTATGTCTGTCACCCTGTCCATCAAACTATCAATTTACATGTGAGGTCTCGCCCTTACAAAAGCCTGTATATGCTCAATCTTAGTATTGACGACAATGCTGAAAGTCGGGAGGCTGATCAGGGACTCCCCAGTACGATGGGAGGCCGCCTATAAAACGTTCCTAGCTGCCACTGAGACGACACGTCCTCGTGCCTACCTGGAATTTTTAGAGGACAACATCCCAATACCGACTCCGCGCCAAGAGGGGGCCGCCGTCCGTGTACTCAGTATTGGGAGTGGATCAGGTTAGAAACGTATACAAATAATTACCTTCGCCAAAAAAGGTTATGCTTTCGTGTCAATTTAACAGCCACACTGTACCTCAGAAACATACTTCTTGTTTAATCATTTTAAAGGAGAAGTGGACAGCGCTATCTTGAGGAAGATCCTGCAAAGGCAAAGCAGCGTGTACAACAGAGTCGTGGAACCGTCGGGAGAAATGATAAAGAATTTTAAGGTAGGCCTAGGGTAGCCTCTACCAGGCTTCGGGAGGCGGCTGGAAAGACTAGAAATCGGCCAGATAGAGAGATAGCATGCCAGGGGAGTTGGTCTGCTGGAAAGAACAGTTTGCCGCTCCCGCAAACCAACTACATTGGCATGTTATCTCTCTATTCGACCAAATTTCTACTCTTTCCAGCCGCCTCCCGAAGAATGGTAGAGGCTAGGCCTAGGGCTGCGACGCCGCTAAATTGGCATCCCACTTGGGATATTGCGTGTTTTTAAAAACACGTCTAGGTTTAATCCATACCCTTCAAAGGCGACACCAACAGTTTTACATTACAAATATCAGATAGAATATCTTTTTAATATATTTTATCCTGCAACGGAAACCGAAAGCCATCTTGTTTTTTTTTATCATGAAGGGAGCTTTCTGATGAAAGACATGATGTAAAACATAATCCTCTAGGCAATGGTACAACATGACACGAGCTTCGGTGCAGTGAAGTTTGACTGGCGCCAACAGACAGCGGAGGAGTACTTCTCTGACAACGATGGCAAAAAGTTCGACCTTGCCCACGCCGTGCACGTTCTGTACTTTGTGGAGGACCACCACGCCACCTTGCGAAACATGTGGGAACAACTGGCCGAGGGAGGCCACCTGTTTGCCTTTCTTCTTACGGGTATGTTGTGGCCTCCAACAGGCCTTCCCATGGGGTACGGATAGTAGAATTTATTAAGAAAGGGACGAATAATTGGCCAAGAGAGTTGGTCAACGAGAAGGTTAATTTCCATAGCGGCAAAATTAAATGAAGTAGATCTGCTTGTTAACTAGTTCTGAGCACAAAACA